CAGGGGCCGCACACAGCATGGAGCCTGATGTAGGGCTCAATTTCACAACCCTGTGATCATAACCTGAGTTGAAATCAAGAGTTGACTCTTAACTGACAGCCTTCCAGGCCCCACCCCCCAGAGTCTTTTTGTTTCAGGCTGAAGGACTTCCTTTGGCATTTCTTATAGTTCAGATCTACTAGTGATGAATTCTCAGTTTTTGTTTACTTGGTAGTATTTTAATTTCTCCTTAATTTTTGAGGGATGGTTTTCCCAGATACAGAATTTTTGGTTGACAGATTTTTTTTTCCTTTTAGCACTTTGCATATGTCATTCCACTAGCCTCCATAGTTTTTTTCTTTTCTTTAAAGATTTTATTTATTTGAGGGGTGCCTGGGTGGCTCAGTCCATTAAGCATCTGTCTTTGGCTTGGGTCATGGTCCCAGGGTCCTGGGATCAAGTTCTGTGTTGGACTTCCTGCTCAGTGGGGAGTCTGCTTCTCCCTCTCCCTCTACCCCTCCCCCCCACTCATGCTCTCTCTCTTTCCTACTCTCTCTCAAATAAATAATAAAAATCTTTAAAACATTTTTTAAAATAATAATAAAAAAAGATTTTATTTATTTGGGAGAGTGAGAGAGAAAGCACAAGCAGGGGGAGGGGCACAGGTACAGGGGCAAACAGACTCTACGCTGAGCAGGGAGCCCAATGTGGGGCTCAATCCCAGGATCCTGGGATCAGGACCTGAGCCAAAGGGAGCCACTTAATCAACCGAGCCACCCAGGCAGCCCTGCCTCCCTAGTTTTTTATGAGAAGTCAGCTATTTGTCATATTGAGGATTCTTTGTAAGTGATGATCCTTTTCTCTTGCTGCTTTCGAGTCTCTGTATCTGGTTTTCAGCTGTTTGATTATAATATGTCTTGGTGTGGGTCTTTTTGAGTTTATCCTAGTAGGAGCTTATTGGATATGTAGATTCATGTATTTCATTAAATTGGAGGAAATTTTGGCCATTATTTCTTCAAATATTTTTTATGCCCACTTTTTTCCTCTCCTCTCCTTCAGGCAGTCTCATTATGCCTTTGGTTGTAAGCTTGATTTTGTCCCACAGGTCTATTAGACTCTGTTCATTTTTCTTCATTCTTTTTTCTTTCTGTTACTGGGGTAGTAACTGCTATTTTTAATTGACCTATCTTCAGGTTCACTGATTCTTTCCTTTGCCTGCTGAAATCTGCCATTAAGCCCACCACTATTGAATTTTTCACTTATAATCTCCATCTTCAGAATTTCTATTTGTTTCATTTTTCTATTTCTATCTCTTTATTGATATTCTCAACCTTTTGAAACATTGTTCTCATTATTTCCTTTGGTTATTTTAGACATGGTTTCCTTTAGCTCTTTAAGCATACTTAAAATAGTTTATTTAAAGTCTTGGTCTTGTGGGGTGCCTTGCTGGTTCAGTCAATAGAGCATGTGATCCTTGATCTTGGGGTTGGGAGTTTGAGCACCACGTTGTACTTAGAGTTTCACCTAACAGACAAACAAATAACATCTTTGTTTAGTTAATCCAATGTGTGGGCTTCCTCAGTACAGTTTCTATTAGCTTGATTGTCTAATGTTCACAGAAAAACCTATGGGCCATACTTATTTGTTTATTTGCAAGCCTCATGATTTTTTATTGTTGTTGAAAACTGGACATTCTGAATATTATAATTTGGCAAATCTGAAAATCAGATTTTCTCTCTTAGGGTACATTGTTGCTGCTTGTTGTGGTTATTGTTTAATAGCTTTCTGAATTATAAATTTTATAAAGTTTGTACTCTTTGTCCAATGTGGTCACTAAAGTCTCTTTTATGTTAACTTAGTTGCCAACTAGTGATTTGACTATTACCTTATAAATCTGTACCAAAACAAAACAAAACAAAACAAAAAAAACCTCCCTGCCTTTGCAGATGGGGTCTGCCCGTATGTTTAGAGCATGTTTTTGTCACTCAGCCAGGTAGTTTACAGCTCTGTCTTAGCTTTCACTTCCTGCTTGAGAAGAGCCTTATTGTCAACCAGAGGTAAAAGTTTTGGGCCTTCTCAGTTTTCTTCTGAGCCTGAATCCAGCCCTGGGCAGAGATGCATATGGCTTTCTAGAGTTCCATGAATACGTCAGAGCTTTTCAAAGCTGTTATTCACTAAAGCATCTCATCAGCCTTTCATCCCTAACTTTTCAATTTTGTTCATTTGCACTAAGTGTCATCTTTGCCCCAGATAGCAGCAACTAATACATTTACCTTGAACTGTTTTTGATAAATGCACCCTGGGTAGTCACCTGGGTAGTGCCTGAATTAGGCACACACCCTTTGAGCCAGCCCCTCAGGGAGCTACCAGACAAGTTAAAACAACCACAATTCTTTGAGAATAAGGTGTGTTCTGCTCTCTTTGGTACTTGGCACTTAGACTAGGAATGTGGGTTATTTTATTTTATTATTTACGTTTATTCAGAAATAGTCTGCTTCACCAGAGTTTCATTGGGAGAGGGAGAAGTGGGCTTCCCACTGAGCAGGGGTCTTCATGCAGGGCTTGATCCCAGGACCCTGGGATCATGACCTGAGCCAAAGGCAGACACTTAATTACTGAGCCACCCAGACACCCCACAATGTGGGTTATTTTTAAGGCTGTTGCCAAACTGGGGATTGGAGGATGGTACCAGGGTAAGTTAAAGTGTCAAAAAGCTCTCTTACTGAGACTCAGCTATTTTTTTCTTGATTAAACATTATCTTAGTTGCTATAAGGTTTTGGTTAGATTCCAGAGTTCTGAACCGAGTTTTGGAGTTCCCTATTTTTTTTCAAAGATTGATTTATTTATTTGAGAGAGAGAGAGAGAGAGAGAGAGAGGAGATGCAGAGGGAAAGGGAGAGAGTGTCCTAAGAAGACTCCTCACTGAGTGTGGACCCTAACTCAGGACACAATCCCAGACCCTGAGGCCACAACCTGACCCCAACCAAGTCCAACATCCAACAAGTTGCACCACCCGGGCACCCCCGGAATTCCCTATTTTTCCTGACATTTTTGCTGGCATCCTATATTTTCATTGTATATTAAAAAACCCTTTTTATCACCACACCACCACCCCAGTTCCAGTTCTTATTGTGGCACATCAGGAATATTTTAGGGATTTTTTTTTTTTTAAGGTCAACTCCATACCCAGCATAGGACTTGAACTCATGACCCCAAGATCAAGAGCTGCATGCTCTACTGACTGAGCCAGCAGAGTACACCTTAGGGATTCTTAAAGTGGTGCCTCTCATATTCCGCACCCCGCTCCTTGATCATGTGACTAGCCTGCTAAGACAGCTGTAGCTCACAGTTTCTCCTCGCCTATTAAATAGTGTCTCCAAGCTCTAGTTCCAGCATGGCTTTCCAGCTCTATCTCACTATTCTCCTCCACCCCAACACTCCCATGCTGTTTTGCTGAATCCACACATGTAGCCGGCTCCCAAGTGTGCAGTTTGCTTCCCACTGCGTACACCATGGATGCTGCTCTTGCACCTCCATTCATGCCGTTTGCTCCCTATCCAGACTGCCCCTTGTCTTCACCTCTGCCTCCTGAAACACTGTCCATATCTTAAGAATCAGCTCACACTTCGATCTTTCTATAAAGTCATTTTTAATCACTTCGACCAAAGCTAATCTCTCCTTCCACTAAACTGCTATGACATTTTTGTGCTAGTAATGTGATGTATGTCATATTAGTACTTGCTCTATTATTTATTTATTTTTTTAAAAGATTTTATTTATTTATTTGGCAGACAGAGATCACAAGTAGTCAGACAGACAGGCATAGAGAGAGGGGGAATCAGGCTCCCTGCTGAGCAAGGATGTGTTCGATGTGGGGCTCGATCCCAGGACCCTGAGATCATGACCCGAGCCGAAGGCAGAGGCTTTAACCCACTAAGCCTACCCAGGCGCCCCAATACTTGCTCTATTATTTATATTCATGTTTTCATTCAGTCATTCTGTCCATAAATATTTAGTAGCAACCACTGTTTGCTAGAGCTACAGTGGAAAGACATTGTCCTTAATGATCATAGTTAAGACATTGAACAAATAAGCACATATGTATTATAGTAATTACTGAGAAAGAGAAGAAATCCGTTAGGATTCTGTGAGCAAGAATAGGATGAGTCCAAGTTTCTCAGGTTAATAGTGAAGGGAGAACATGACAGGAAGAGGACACAACATGCCTGAGGAATCTGAAGCCCACTGTGTGCCTTACTGTCTCTATAAGAGTCAGAGAAACATTTCCATTACCACAGTGCTTTATACTTACTGCACATAAAGAATAAAAATTCTTTTTTGAGATGGTAAGAAGGTTTTGAGATGGTAAGAAGTTTAAGAAGAAGAAGAAGAATGTAAATTAAGAAAAAAAAGAACCCGGAGCACCGGGGTGGCTCAGTCAGTTAAGCCTCTGACCCTTGGTTTCAGCTCAGGTCATGATTTGAGGATCCTGAGATCAAGCCCCACGTAGGGCTCCCAACTCAGTGAGGAGTCTGCTTCCCTCCTGCCTGTGCATGCTTTCTCTCTAAAATAAATAAATAAATCTTTAAAACATTTTTAGAATTTTTTATTAACATAAAATGTATTATTAGCCCCAGGGGTACAGGTCTGTGAATCGCCAGGTTTACACACTTCACAGCACTCACCATAGCACATACCCTCCCCAATGTCCATAACCCAACCACCCTCTCCCTACCCTCCTCCCACTGGCAACCCTCAGTTTGTAATAAATAAATGAATCTTAAAAAAAAAAAAGAAAAAGTAAAAAGAGAAACTAGTGATTAAAAGGGAGAAGAATAGGTGAGCAGTCAGAGAATAATATCATTTAATTTCCTTTCTATTTCAGTGAAATAATGGCAATAAGAGCAGCAGGTAATGTTTATCGAGTGCTCACTCTGGGCTAGGAACTATGCTAAAAGCTTTATGTGTGTCATTTTATATGACTTTGGAATTGAGCGGCGTCTACCCTTTCTTTTCTGCAGTGTTTTGACTCAGTGTCAGGATGTAGAACTCTCCTTCCCGCAGCAACCAGAGGGATCCAGTGTCTTCTGTGGTACAAAGAGGGGAACAGTGTTTCTTACTTCATACCGGGTAATTCTACTTCTTCTTTGATCAGATTAACTGCGCATTTGTTTTCCTTAAAATGGAGAGAGGGTAAATGTTGACTTTCAAAGTGTTTTAAAACATTCACACGTTTATGATTTTCCATGTGGAGGAATATGGAAGAAAATGGGTGATGTTTCTCAATTAGGCCAGGATTTCAAAGCAGCCTTGACCTTAGAATTGCTCTGCTATGTCTCAATCCGTGGACAAACTGTAGTCCTTCTCTGAAATTTCTTTCTTCTCGTAGGTGATCTTCGTGACTTCACACACAGTCAATGACTCCATGTTTTCTTTTATGATGCCGTTTGATCTGATGAGTAACTGCACCGTTGAACAACCCGTCTTTACCCCCAACTTCATTAAAGGAATCATTCAGGCAGCCCCAGATGGTAAGTGCCCCCTCAGAAGTGGTTTTTTGTTTGTTTGTTTTTTCTCAAAAGCTTCCAGAAGGTTTAAGATTCAGACTTGGCTCATGCTGGAATTCAAAAAAAGCTGCCCCGCTCCTTTGGGTAGTGCTTCTCTCTCTGTCCGGGGCAGTCCTCTCCGGCCAGAGGTGCCAGCACCTTAGTGAGTGTGTGTCATTTCTTCCCCCAGGTGGCTGGGAAGGACAGGCTACCTTTAAATTAGCCTTCAGAAAAGGAGGTGCCATCGAATTTGCCCAGATGATGATGAAAGCTGCTTCTGCTGGTGAGCAATGCTAATAAGGATTCTAAATGCTTTGGGGGGGTTTGAGGCCTGTTGAGGCAAAGTAGGACTGTTACACACCCGGTCAAGACTTTGGCCTCCGAGGTCAAGCCGTTGGTAGCTGCACATGTATTCGGCAGGTATTTCCTGAGCCTCCCTACTATGGGACATGTACCATACCACAGGCTGGGAGCAAGATTAGTCAGTCCCTCCTTGTCTTAAAGGAGTTTGCCGTCTACCAGGAGCTTGTACTCAGACACCTGAATGACTAATTTTACCTGATAATGTCTTGTCCATTTAAATGCTGGTCTCCTATCATTGAGTAGTCTCATTTTCAGCTCTGGAAGCCCCAGTTGCCTGAGTTCTTTTTCCTCTGTCATGCCTTTTTGTTTTTTCTCCTCTCTGGCTTTGTCTTTGCTTCTCTTAGCTGTAGTTCCCATTTTCATGAGAAGAGGGAAGAGGTATTGTCAAGTGCCACAGTACTGATCTAAAGTATGTACCAGATAACTCTTTTCAGACTGTGAATACCAATAATCCTTTTACGGGGCACCTGGCTGGCTCAGTCAGTAGAGCATGTGACTCTTGACCTAGGGGTTGTGAGTTTAAGTCCCATGTTGGGTGCAGAGCCCACTTAAAAAAAAAATAAATCCCTTAATGATATATTTTTATTTAATCTAGCCTCATTTCATACCCCTCCTCTCTCACCTTTTGTACTCCAATCTAATTGGACTTCTGTATGCCTTGTTCTCTCATCTCTGTACCTTCATGTTATTTGTTCTTTCTGGGTAATTTTATTTACTTATCTATTTATTTATTTTTATTTTTTAAGTAAAATCTATACCCAATATGGGGCTTGAACTCATGACCCCAAGATCAAGAGTCACCTGCTCTTCTGACTGAGCCCACTAGGTGTCCTTAAATTTGCTCTATTTGGAATGTTCTTTCTCTTTCTCTGTTGCCTCCACCTCCAACTCCAATCTAGTTGAGATGGACATATGCAAATACACCATAACAGAGGCATGGACAAAATGCTGGGGACACAGAAGGATGGAATGAATGTTCTAGCTCAGAAAACTGATTGGATCATGATACTATAAACCATAGTGAAGAATGCAAGAGACAGTCTACGTTGGAGTTCAATTTTAGATATACTAACATTTACTGAACGCTTACTATATAGTGGGCAGTGTTCCAAACCCTTTACATGTGTCAGTACTTGTAACCCTCACAAAAACTTATGATGTAGCTACAGTCATTATCCCCAGTTGATAACAGGAGAAACTGAGGCAGTGATGGTTATACAGTGTCCCAAGGCTGCACAGATAGAGAGCAATGGAGCTAGAATCTAAATCCTAAACCTCTTCTTGCTCTTTTTTTGAACTTTTTAAAGAAAAATAATCTTATCTTTGGAAAAGTTGCACGAATATTGCAACAAAGGGTGCCTGAGTGGCTCAGTGGGTTAACCCTCTGTCAGGCTCTCTGCTTGGCGGGGAGCTTGCTTCCCCTTCTCTCTCTGCCTGCCTCTCTGCCTACTTATGATCTGTCTCTCTCTGTCTGTCAAATAAATAAATCTTTAAAAAAAAGTATTACAACAAACTCTCATGGACCATTCATCTAGATTCACCCATTATTAACATTTTCCCAACTTTGCTTTATCTTGTTCTTTTTTTGCTTTGTTTCTACTAAAGTATTTGGGAATAAGTCACAAAGATCATTTCATTCATCCCTAAGTATTTGGATGTAAATCTCCTAGGAGCAAGGGTATTCTCTTATCTACCCTCAGTCTGCTTATCAAATTCAGAAAATGTAACATGGAAACAATGCTGTTATTTAATATTTGGTTTATATTCAAATTCAAATGATTAACCCATTACTGTTCCTAATTCTAATAGCACATCCCCCCCCCCCCCCCCGCCCCAGTCAGGATCTAATCCCAGATTACACATTGAATTTAGTTGTCCTGTGTCTTTGGTCTCCTTTAATCTGGACTCAGCCTTTCTTGATGTTGACATTTTAAAGAGAATACAGGCTTATTGTTTTGTAGACTGTCCCTTAATTTGGGTTTGTCTGTTTCCTCATGCTTAGATGCACATCATGCATTTTAAATGGCAGAAATACGATATAAGTGATGTTGTATTTTTTTGATCCTATATTATTCATTCCTGCATCTTATTAAATATGAGGCACATTGGAATGCTAGTGGCCAGTGGATTTTCAGCTCAGAGCTCCAAAGATGAACTGTATCTTCTAGAGACTGGTTTAGAAATTCTCAGCACGCAGGTCATCTCTGGAGCCATGTGAGTGATAGGATCCTTCAGTGACTTAGGAATGGTATTCCAAGGGTCCTCAACAGCTCAGGGATGGGTAGGGAGGGGTGACTTTAATGAAGAATGCAAAGGGGCTGACTGAAGTAGGAGGAGAATTGAGTTTATTGTCCTAGAGGTCAAGGAAGGACAATTTCAGGCGTTACCGGGTGATCATTTGTCAGCTGCTACAGAGATGTTTGATAAAATGAAGACTGAAGGATGTGCCTTGCATGTGGAAATTTGAGTTTGTTGGTGCTCTTAGCAAGAGAGAAATACTAAAGAAGACAGGTGGCAGAAAAGCCATATATAAGAAATTGAGGAGTAAGAAATTGTTTTACTGTTACCTTTAAGATACAGTGCAAAAATACAAAGGCCAAGGAGCTCACACGCTGTACCCAACCAACAGCTCTTCATCGTCGAAAGGGCAGACAGTATCTGGAAGCCTGACACTGGGTAGCAAGGTGTCCTGGCAGACAGAGCACAGCCTTGTGGAATCCAGAGTCAGGGGCCACTTGGAAGTCCAGCTCCTCTTTCCTACCGGTATCTGTAGAACTCAGAATAACTGCATATTGGTTCTTGAGTACGCTCTTATTTCTGGCCTCACAGTACGGAGGGGGCTTATTTTTAAGATTATGGGCCAAGGATCAGGCAACTTGAGGGGATCCTCTTTGTGCTCTCATTAAGATCTGCTTCTTGGGGGTGCCTGGGTGGCTCAGTTGGTTGACCATTTCCTTTTGGCTCAGGTCATGATCCTGGATCCTGGGTCCTGGGTTCGAGCCCCACATCGGACTCCCCACTCGGAGGGGAGCCTGCCTTTCTCTCTCCCACTCCCTCAGCTTGTGTTCCCTCTATCGCTGTGTCTCTCTCTGTCAATTAAAAAAAAAAAAAAAAAGATCTGCTTCTTGGCCTGCAAAGCTATGGAGTCCCAGCAGTTATATAGCTACTTGGGAAGAGTTTAGGCAACGTATGTGAGCTTGGCCCACTGTTTTCTGGGTCTGATTACATCATGGCTTAGGTGTGGGAGCCTATCCCCGCTCCCCCAGTAAGAACGTAAGATTGTGAGATGGGCTTCTTTGAGGTCTTTAGAATTAACTACCCATCATGCTTCATGATCTGATTCTTTGACCCTTTGCAGAAGTCTCTTCCCCTCTACAGAGCTGACTTGTTGGGGCTCTTTGATTCTTGTTTTTACCAAATACATGTTGAGTAGCTGTTGTTTGCCAAACTCTATATGAGATGATTAAGAACACAGTAGTGAACAAGGCGAACACAGCCCCTAACTTTGTTAAACTTACAGTCTAGTGAGAGTCATATAAGAAATAAACAAACAGGGGTGCCAGGGTGGCTTAGTCGGTGAAACATCTACCTCAGGTCATGAACCTCGGGTCTTGGGATGGAGCCCCGCATCGGGCTCCTTGCTCGGCGGGTAGCCTGTTTCTCCCCTGACCTCTGCCTGCCACTCTGCCTGTGCACACACTCTCTCTCTCTCTCTCTCTCTCTCTCTCTCTCTCTCTATATATATATATATATATATATCTGTCAAATAAATAAATAAATAAATAAATAAAATCTTTTAAAAAAAGAAAAGAGCAAACATATAAGTTAATAAAATAATTACTTCTGGGAAGGATATTAATAGGATATTGACAAGGAGGTTAGTAGGGGTAAAGAGGACAACTTCAGATTTATAATGAATTAGTTAAGATAATGCTATCTCTTGAAACAGAAAAATCCCAAATTATCCATAGCTTAAGGCAGTAGATATTACTGCTTATGTAAAGGACAATTAGCAAAGATAATATGGGGCTCTGAACCACATAGCCATTTAGGGACCCAGAGTACTAGGGTCTTTGCCATCTTTAACACATGGCTTCCACAGCCCCTCTGGATAGCTGGCAGGGAGGGAAAGAGAGTAAATATTTCACCTGGGAAGCTTGCACCAGGGAAGCCCTGGAAGCGGTGTACCTTACTTCTGGTCACATGCCATAGGCCAGAAGTAGAGCAGTAGGCCAATAATGGCTCCCAAAGATATATCTATGTCCTTAACCCTCAGAATCTGTGAATATTGCCTTGTTTGGAAAAAAAAATCTGCAGATGTAATTAATTTAAGGAGCTTGAGATGAGAAGATTACCCTGGATTATCCAGGTGGGCCCCAAATGCCATCACAAGCGTCCTTATAAGAGAGACGCAGAGGAAGATATACAAGAAGCGCTTTCTTTCTTCTGTATCATGTTGCCATTACATTGGCTTCCATGGTTGTGTCTTGCCAACTAAATGGAATCCTCACTTGGATTCTGAATATTTTTTATGGTAAGTGCTATGCTAGGCCCTGGATAAGCACAGGCAAATAAGACACAATCTCTGCCCTCACGGAACATGCAGTTCAGGACAAGGGAGGTATATATTTTTTATCTCGTATCCTGGGAGCATTTTTGGACACATATGTGAGATGATGGTTGATACTTTATTAATTATTTGGTTGATAACTGCTTAAAAGAATTAAAAAGTCCCTATTTTGCCAAACTTGTCTTCTCAGCTGCCAGGGGAGTTCCACTTGGAAGTGTAAACTACTGGTTCAGCTCTCCAGGACTGTACGTAGTTACTGGGCAGGGGGGCATGATGTGCTCCCAACAGATGCCTTGTCCAGGTAAGGAGTGGCAGGGAAGTTCTCCTTGGGTGGTGGAAAAATATGCCAAGGGCTCAAAGATCCATTCATTGCTAGTTTGCCTGCAACTCTGCTATAGGAGAAAGAGGAGACATTTAGAGAATTGGAAATGGAGTCCATGACTTCATTTCTAGACTGAAGCCCCATGGCAGGTCAGCAATGACTGAGCTTCAGTTTGAGGCTTACTTTTAACTGTAATGTACACATACGGAGCAGACATGGGCGACTCCTGCTAGCAGGAACCATCACTTCCTACTTATAGCCTGCATCAAAAAAGGTGCTCTTCCCCACTGACCCCTTCCCATCTCACACAAGTATAGCCATCATGCTCATGCCAGGCCCTTCAGCCTCACTGAGGACTCCAGCTTCATGCCCTGTGTCCTTTAACAGTTGTGCCTGTCCCCAGTGGTTCTCAAATGTGGTCCACAGCCTATAGGTGGGCCACAAAGGGTCTCCTAACAGGCCGTCAACAGGCCCCAAAAGGTAGTCCTTTCTTGGGTTCTCCTTGGAACATGACATACATGTCTACAGCTTTTAGTTTTGTGTACAACTGATGTCACAAAATTACATCTTTATAGTTGTGTGGTTAAAAATATAATCTAATAATTCTTTTAAATGCATTAGTCTCTGAGAGGTGCCTGGGTGGCTCAGTCAGTTAAGCCTCTGACTCTTGGTTTCAGCTCAGACTGTGATCTCCGGGTCATGAGATCGAGCCCTGTGTCAGGCTCTGCGCTCAGCCGTGACTCTTCTTGAGATTCTTTCCCTCTCCTTCTCCCTCCCCCTTTGCTCCTTCCTCCACTTTCATGCTCTTTCTCTTCTTAATAAAGAAATAAAATCTTTAAAACAAATAAATAAATGCATGTCTCTTAAATTATGTAGAAAACAAAAAATGGAATTACAAGCTATTATTATAAAATATTAGCTTTTGTAATTGCCCAGTGATTCAGCTTTAGTGAGGTCTTTATCCCTATAAAGTTGGCCTTAAGTTATTGTCTGGTGTCCTTTCACTTCACCTTGCAGGACTACCTTAAGCACTTCTTACCCAGTAAGAATGAACTCCTTCAGCTTTTGTGTATCTGGAACATCTTCATTTCTCTCTCTTGAAGGAGTTTTGCCAAATAGAGGATTCTCGTTTGACAGTTTATCTCTGGCCTTTAAAGTTTCTGATGGGAAATCTGCTGATTATCTTACTGAGGATCCCTTGTATGCTTCTCTCTCGCTGCTTTCAAGACTCTCCCTTTGTCTCTGTCTTTTGAAAGTTTAATTAGAATGTATCTCAGTGTTTGTTTCTTTAAGTTAATCTTACTTGAAGTTTATTGAGCTTCTGGATGTTTATATTCATGTTTTCATCAAATTTGAGAAATTTACAGTCACTCTTTGTTCAAATATTTGCTCTGTCCCTTTTTCTTCTCCTCCTGGGACTTCCTTCTGGTCTGCTTGATGGTGTTCCACAGGTCCCTCAAGCTCTGTTACTCTCAAGCCCTGTTCACTCTTCTTCAGTGTTCGGTTTTGTGTGTGTGTGTGTGTTTCCTATTCCTCAACCTCTATTGTTTCCGTCGTCTTATCTTCAAGTTAATGGATTCATTCTTCTGCCTACTCCAATCTGAATTTGAATCCCTATAGTGATTTTTTCATTTCAGTTGCTGTGCTGTTCAGCTCCAGAATTTCTTTTTGACTTCTTGTGAAGTTTTCCACTTCTGCTGGTATTTGTTTGATGCATACATCATTTTCTTGACTTCCTCCACATTTTCCTTTCGTTTTTTAAGAATCTTTAAGACCATTCTTTTAAAGTTTTTTCTAGTTATCTCAAACATAAATGTGGATTACAGGCAAAGTAACTTGACAGCTGTCCACTCATTGACTCAGTTAAACCACTTTGGAAATGTAGCCAAGAAAATAAATAAAGTCCAGGTTTATTGCAATATGAGTTAGAAAATTGGAAATGGGGTACCTGGGTGGTGCAGTTAATTGTCAGACTCGGTTTTGGCTTAGGTGATGATCTCAGGGTCCTGGGATCCGGTCTGTGCTCAGTGTGGAGTCTGCTTAAGACTTTCTCCCTCTCCCCTTCCCTGCTCCTGTGCTTTCTCTTTCTCTCTCTCAAATAAATAAATAAATAAAATCTTAAAAAAAAGAAAGTTAGGGGCGCCTGGGTGGCTCAGTGGGTTAAAGCCTCTGCCTTCGGCTCAGGTCATGATCTCAGGGTCCTGGGATTGAGCCATACATCGGGCTCTCTGCTCAGCAGGGAGCCTGCTTCCTCCTCTCTCTCTCTCTCTCTCTCTGCCTGCCTCTCTGCCTACTTGTGATCTCTGTCTGTCAAATAAATAAATAAAAATTCTTAAAAAAAAAAAAAGAAAGTTGGAAACAACATGCTCTCTTGCAGCAGGGAAATTAAGTAGCACCTATCCATGTAATAAAATGTTGTCTAGCTTTTAATGTATGAAATATGCTAATAATATAAAGAAAATTTTTATAATGTCAAGCAAAAAGAGCCAGATAAAAAAATGTATGGGTGTTATGATTGTGAGTGTATAAAAATATTAACAGATTCTACAAAGAAATACACCAGAATATTAAATTTTTGTATTTGAGAGTGGATTATAGATGACTTTTGAAGTTCATCTTTTCAGGGTGCGTGGGTGGCTCAGTTGCTAAGCCTCTGGCTTTAGCTCAGGTCATGATCCCAGGGTCCTGGGATTGAGCCCCGCCTGCTTCTCCCTCTGCCACTCCCCCGCTTGTGTTCCCTCTCTCACTGTGTCTCTCTCTGTCAAATAAATAAATAAAATATTTAAAAAAAATAAAGTTCATCTTTATTTTCTAAATACATACCCCTCATTCAGCATGTATTGCTTTCTTCATACTCAAACAAAATTTATTAAATAAAATATATCTTTGAGCACAACTATAAGTAATGTAGAGATATAATCGTAAGGTTATTTTCATGTTAACTTGAACCCCTCCAAAACAGGAAATGATAAAGCCTTCATCCAGTGGTGGCTGAAGGAGCTGGCTTTAGCATTATTCTGCCCGAATTCTTTTCCTGTGTCAGTTCGCTTCTTCTTCCTTCTTACCTATTCCTTGTCCACTCTAAAAAATGAGTAACTGATTTTTTTTTTTTCCTTCTCAGCCTACCCATTTGTTGTCTATGGAACCCCACAGGCAGGATATGGACCCGCACAGGCGGGATACGCACCCGCACAGGCGGGATACGGACCCTCACCAGGGGTGTATGGAACCCCACAGGTGGGATATGGAACCCCACAAGCAGTATACGTGCCCCCGCCTGCGGGATACAGACCCCCATCTGGAGTATATGGAACACCCCCTGCACGATACGGATCCCTACCAGCTGGAAATGAAGCTTCACTGGCCGGAAATGAAAACCCACCCGCTGCAAATGAAGCCTTGCCTCCGGCATATGGAATTTCACCTGTTGGAACTACAGCTGGGTCTAGCAGATTTATGGCAGCCCAGCCTGCTGGGTATGAGCCTTCTCTTCCCCCTCCTTCATCTTCTGAGAGCCATCTACAATCTTTTAGGAAATAACCATTGAAGATTCACCAAGCAAACTGGCACTCAAAAACCGAAGTCAGGATAAGAAGGCGGACTCGGGTATGTGATTGAAGGCATGTGTGAAGTACCGTGGCACCCTGAGGGAGGGCAGTCTTAGGGGAAGGATAAAGCTGTACTTCCACGCCTAGACTTTAGAAGCTGGGTCAACTCTTGATTAGATGGGCCAGAGGAGAAGTAGAATTAGAGCTAATTCCCTGATAATTTGGTTGACATTGGGCTGCATTTTTTAACATATGTGAGGGTGGAAAAATCTTCCTGCCTTTCTCCTCTACCCCACTCAAGAAACATTTATTATGCTGTTTGCCAGGCCCTAAAATATGTTAGAATTATCAAGTTGAACACAGCATTATTTATATTATTGAAAGGATGGAACAACCTAAATTTCCAATAGTGAGAGAGAATTTCATAAATTATGGTACATCCATATAGTGGAATATTATGTGGCCACTGAAAATGATATCTGGATGTAGGAAAAACCTTCTTTAAGATAAAAAACAATGGGACCACCTGGGTGGCTCAGTGGGTTAAGTCTCTGCCTTCGGCTCAGGTCATGGTCTCAGGGTCCTGGGATCGAGCCCCACATCAGGCTCTCTGCTCAGCGGGGAGCCTGCTTCCCCCCTCTCTCTGCCTGCCTCTCTGCCTACTTGTGATCTCTCTGTCATATAAATAAATAAAATTTTTAAAAAAGAGATCAAAAACAATGAAACAATATAGGAAAACAGTGATAAGGTTGATGATATCAAAATTTGGGACTTCCATATGACCAAAATTAAAAGCTAGGAAATAGAATAAGAGAAAGCTAATCTCCAAAATGTATGTTAAACAAATAATTTATAGTCAGAATATATGAAGAAGTGGACCTCACTTCAAATTCACCTGGTACAAGGGCCCCTGGGTGGCTCAGTTAGGCATTTGACTCTTGGTTTCGGCTCAGGTCATGATCTCAGGGTTATGAGATCAAGCCCCCCCATCCTACACCAAGTCAGACTCTGCACTCAGAACTTTTTGATGACAAGTCAATCAAAAAGAAAAAATGGACAAAAGATGTAAATTCCCAATTAACTGAGGCAATAGAGTGGCTCAGAAACATTTGAAAAGATGTTTATTCAACTTGACTAGTGTTAGGAAAATGCAACATAGCATGAGAACTTTATCTACAAAGATTTACAAATATTGAAAAGATTGAAAAACTTAAGTGTTGAGAAGGAACACGTGGGGGAAAGGTTATTTGATACAAAACTAGTGAGAGTGTAAATTGGTATGAATTTTTAGAAGGAAATTTGGCAGTACCTTTTAAAAGTTAAAAGGTACCTACTCTCCAGTTAGTAGTTTCACTTCTTAGTATCTGTTCCTGAGAAATGTTGCCTTTGTGACTTGAATACCATGCTGGCAATGCCACTGGCAATGTCATTTTCCAAAATAGCCAATTCTTGACAAATTTCCAAATAAAAGATTTAGTTTTTCCTTGATTTACACAGTGGTTGAATTCCAGAGAAGTTCTGTATGTATTAAAATCATGTGAAACAGGGTTAGGATCCAGGCTTAAATGATTACAAGCCCATGTTTCACCTGTATCAATGGCCAGAGATGCATTTGTTTGTTGTGAGGAACTGCCCTGTACTTTTCAGGATGTCTGGTATGCTTGACCTCTCACCTAGTGAATACCAACTGTGGCCTCTAACTGTGATAACCAGAAATGCCCCCACTTATGCCATAATTGCCCCCTGGGGGTCAATGCCTTCCCTGCTGAGAACTCATTCTAGACTATTCCAAGGTTTTCAGCCTCTTAAGAGCTCACTGTTCCCCCTACTTTGACCAACTCCCTGATTTAATTGGCCTTTTCTTGCTTGCTTTCAGGTCATCAAGCCACCTAAAAATGGTGTCTTAAAAATATTATGTCAAGTGTTTTTAAATACATAGCAGAAGGGTTTCAGGAACTGTAGTGCACAATATTACCAGAATCAGAAGACATTTAAATCATATATTTTTTTCTCTGTATATTTTGTATGTAGCTGAAAACATGTTGTACATATAGTTTCATCTGATACTTTATATTTTCATAGGGTGTTTTTAACGGCTTTGAGGTATAATTGATACATTAAAAATTGTATATATTTAATGTATTTTTTTTATTTTTTAAAGATTTTATTTATTTATTTATTTATTTGTCAGAGAGAGAGAGAGAGAGAGAGAGAGAGCGAGCGAGCACAGGCAGACAGAGTGGCAGGCAGAGGCAGAGGGAGAAGCAGGCTCCCCACAGAACAAGGAGCCCGATGCGGGACTCGATCCCAGGACGCTGGGATCATGACCTGAGCCGAAGGCAGCGGCTTAATCAACTGAGCCACCCAGGCGTCCCATATTTAATGTATTTTTTAAAAAGATTTTATTTATTTATTTGACAGCACAGTAGGGGAAGCAGCAGGCAGAGGGAGAGGGAGAAGCAGGCTCCTGGGAGCCCTACACAGGGCTTGACGCCAGGACCTAGGGATCGTGACCTGAGCCGAAGTCAGCTGCTTAATGACTGAGCCACCCAGGAGCTCCTTAATGTATAGTTTAATGAGTTTCATAGGCTTTTAAGAATTCTTCATAATATTGTTAGTGGTTACATGATATTCTGACAGGGTTGCACCATTACATATTTTCTCGATCCTTATTTTAAGATATTTTAGTTGTTTCCAGGTTTTTGCCATTACAAACAACATTGCAATTAACTTCTCTTATATAGAGCTTTTTAAAAAACTCTTGGATTATTTCCTTAAAAGAGGTTAGAGTTACTGATTGATCTTCATTGTAACAATTAGGAAACCAGATGCTCCTGTGTTGCCAAGGACAGTCTTTCCTAAGGAAGTGGTGGGTGTTAATAGGTCTTAAGTGAAAAGGGGGGTTATGGAGTCATATATATTTGAAAAAGCCAGGTGAACAGGTTTCTTTACTTTATGATTTCTTAGCACCCTGAATATACTAATGAACATAAATCCCTTAGAGGGAGAGAATTTCAAAATATACATATTTTTAAAAAAAATTTTTTTAAAGATTTTATTTATTTATTTGACAGAGAGAGAGACCACAAGTAGGCAGAGAGGCAGGCAGGGAGAGGGGGAAGCAGGCTCCCCACCAAGCAGAGAGCCCGTTGTGGGGCTTGATCCCAGGACCCTGAGATCATAAGCTGAGGCAAAGGCAGAGGCTTAACCCACTGAGCCACCCAGGCGCCCCTATACATATTTTTTCAAAATTATTTGACCTTAGACTATTTTATTCACTAAACATCTTGGAAAAACTATTACTCAGTGGAACAAACATTGGGAAACACTTTCTGGAATGAGGGGATATTAGAATTAAAGTCCTGTAAGTCTCTGGAATATGCTAGCCCTTGAAACTCTTTCCAGCAATGAGACAAGTCAAGGACCATTCTTTCCCTTTCAAGAAAAAGAGTTTCATGTCCAGTTTGTAGACAGCAGGGGATCTTCTTGAAGAAGGCAAATGTTGATATAGAAAGTAGCTCCGGATTCCTCTCAGAAATTACTGGCATAGAGTCATGGGTCTAAGAAGCTGGCGTGTCAGTAGCACAAGGGGTTGACAGTATGCGCAGACAACTGTCATGAAGGGAAGAAGTAAAAAGGGAAACCGTCGGTATAACCCTTTTCTAAAGGTTCCAAATAGATAACTTAGATCATATGGATCTTAAATGTGGGTCACAGGTTCCAGATCTTTCTCTTAAAATCTTTTTGAGGAAAGTGATAAGGATGTTTTTTTTTCCTTTTTCTTTCAGGAGTTTCTTCTTTTCTCACTTCTAAACCTCTCTGCATGGGCAGAAGTGACAAGATGAACAGGGAGAGATTCAACAAACCAGAGCAGGAATAGGGTTTCCCTCATTCAGCTTCTCGGTTTCTGCTGGAATGTGATGGTGAGTTGGGAATAGGGTGAAGGGGTGAGACCTCTTTTATGCCGGGATATTTCTCTAAATAACCAATGTCTGGCAGACACATTCTGGGCTTAGAATTCTAAGAGAGTAGCAACTAGAGTTTGTCTTCTGCTCTTCATTCTAGGTGGGTTTTTAAATTTTTATTTATTTATCTTTATTTTTTATTTTTTTAAGATTATTTATTTATTTATTATTTGAGAGAGAGAATGATAGAGCATGAGAGAGGTGGAGGGTCAGAGGGAGAAGCAGACTACTTACAGAGCAGGGAGCCTGATGTGGGACTCGATCCTGGGACTCCAGGATCATGACCTGAGCCAAAGGCAGTTGCTTAACCAACTGAGCCACCCAGGTCCCCTAGGTGGGTTTTTTTTTTTAAAGAAAAGATGGATTTATTTGAGAGAGAGAGCATGCGTGAGTGGGAGGAGGGGCCGAGGGGAGGAATCCTCAAGCAGGCTCCTCGCTGAGTGCAGAGTCTGACTTGGTGTGGGTTGGGGGGCCTTGATCTCATAACCCTGAGATCATGACCTGAGCCGAAACCAAGAGTCAAATGCCTAACTGAGCCACCCAGGGGCCCCTGTACCAGGTGAATTTGAAGTGAGGTCCAGTGACCTAGAAGGATTAGTAAGTCCAAGTCTCCTGAAGGTGGAATTCCATAATGTTCTCCCCTGCAAAGGGAACCTGTTCACCTGTTTCACCAGGCTGCCTGAGTACAACCAAAGGTTGTGATTGTATAGAGATGGGACCAAGCAGAGCCACAGTTTGGATCCACTTGGGGCTATGTGACAGACCTACTACTTTTAGCTCCTACTACCTGGTGCAGCTGTTCCCCCAAAGACTCAGAGTCTTTCTATGAGAAGCACATCCTGGGTTCTCTGCTTAGCAGGGAGCCTATTCCCCCTCTCTCTCTGCCTGCCTCTCTGGCTGCTTGTGATCTCTCTCTCTCTGTCAAATAAATAAATAAAATCTTAAAAAAAAAAAAAAAAAAGCACATCCTATTGAGAGAGCTTTGGGTCCTGTGTATGCAAAGGGATCTGATTTTGCGCCGCCTATC